AGCTTCAGCTCCCATCAAGCTGACCAAAATAGGGAGCGTTACTTGAGCAGAAGGTAAACTTTTTGTGAAGAAATGTCCCATGAAGAGTCAAATAAGAGCCGTGAACTCCAGTAGGTAACAAAATACTGCTTGAATGCGTGCACGACAGTACAAAATGACAAAAGCGATCAATAACTTTCTTCGTACCCCATCGGCGAGAGCCACTGTGACAGAAACACAACAACAATTTCTTGCCCAGAATAGTGACTACCTATACTCCGCATATAGATTATCGGTAATTCTAAATGTAATGTTTTTGTGATCAGCCTTCACACATACACCCCCTGTGCCAAATGGTAGCCGCTCAGCTCAATGTTGAAAAATTTCCGCTCCGCACGGGACCCATAGTGCGAGCGAATCTCTCGCCGGCATAATGGCTACTAGCCTCTCCTCTCGCCATCACTGAGCGCCGTTATATTTTCGCATTCCTTTTTCTGGATTCCTTCAGCAACTGGACCCTCCGTCACGCTAGGGTTAAGGATAGGAGGGACGCAGAAAACTCTGCCGTCGCGCTTGAAATGATCGAATGTATATTATAGTAAGGAAGTAAGGATACCAAACATGGATTTGAAAGGTTCAATTTACTTCTTACCAGTGCTTCACCTCTGCTTCGCAGAGGTTCGCACTGGCATCGTGAACCGTGGTAAACTCACTTTCTGAGAGCTTGTCTCTCAAATCATTGTTCGGTTTATTGCAACGTGAGCCGTAGTTAAAAATGAACCATACTCGCTATCTTAACCTCACATGATGTTTAGTATCGTAAATCATTCCTCACTGTAATTTCGTAACGGACAAACTCCACACAACTTCAGATTAAGCCGCTTATTATAAGTCACCAGTGCGTCACCTCTGCTTCGCAGAGGCTCGCACTGGCTCTGCTATCTAGGCCCTACTCATTCTCGTATAATGATGGCATTGGAACTCACCGAGCAATGCCGACTATCACGAACAAAATGTAAACAACTACTCATTCCGAAAGCTTTTGTATGGGAAATCGGTGATTTCGCGTGGATGAGACTTTTTGCAGGAAAACAAATGCAAATTTTTATAGGTTTTTGATTTTCTCATGGCCTTTACAGTTGCAATAAGAACAGCAGTCACCGTGAGCTACAACTTTGTGCAAAATTTTCGTCAAATGGTCTGGTAAAACCTTGGCAAATTGATCATTTACGCAACCAATATTTTTTGGCGCCGTTTTTGTAAAGTAATGGACTTTTGATCACTTTTTTGAGCCTAAGTTCATGGCTTGCACATTTACTTGGCACAAACATCCATGACTCTGAAAAAAGTGGAATTACGGACCCAATTTTGCGGCCCAAACGCAAAGTGGATCCGTTTGACACGCAGTTTCTAAGGGATCCACTCAACGAATCTGCTCGTTCTTCTGCATGTTGGAGTTTCATGCGGGTAGCATGCACTGTGCAAAATTTGAGCCCAGGAGGTTGGCTGGAACACGCTCTACGAATTTCGTAACAGACACACTCTCAGACACACACACAAAGTCACGTAAACATCCTTAGCCCGTTATTATAAGTAATGATACTCGCCCAATGATTGGACTCGGTTGTTAAATTCTTGCATAAGTTGTGATGTTATTTATCACTGCGTTCGAACTCATTCTCGAAACGAAATCACCAATAGAAATACACTCATGCATAGTCGCTTGGATTTTTGCATTTATCCAATCGCGGACCACTGTTCATATTAATCGTATGTTTTCAGAGCGGCAGTATGGAACAACCCGAAATAGTTTACGGATAAAATCATTTTTTTCCAAACTACATGTTATATTGTAACAAGAATGCCTAATGAAAAAGTCGTTTAGCATTCTGACATTTTGGCGCTTACGGTGTTGGTATCAATTGTATGGCGTGCATTAACTTTAGTAATGTGTTTTGTTATTACAGTCCCCTCGTATCAAATGATGGGACGCACGTCTCTTACAAGGGAAAGTCGCTTGGTCGAAGTGGCGATTCGGAAGGTGATCTATAACAATAGATAGAGCTTGAATCGCTGACCTCAGATATACCTGATATATCCGCAATGTGTTGTTCTGAAAAAAGTTATGAGCTTTTCTACTCACAAATTTTCGTGCATTTTGAAATGCAAAATTATGATAATCTTTGCACAAAAGTGTGCAAACTTGAACAAACCACCTAGAAAGCATTGCAGGTGTAATTTGAGTTCATCCGAACGTTTCGAGTGTTTTCCGATCTTGTTTTCTATCCACAGGTCCTCATTTCCTTTCTAGATCATACTTCCATTATACAGGGTGTCCCAAAAAAATGTATCGAACGCTTAATCGTACTATCTCTCTTTCCAAGAAGTCTTTTGCCTTGCTTCAAGTACCGTTTTGTAGAGCTGGATTCAACTTAGATTCGCATCATAGAACGAATCACCCATCTCTCTTCATTACTGTAGGATTACGGTAGAAACTTGAAACATATGGTGTCGATGTGGAAAAAGCTGCCGTTTCAAAATTTTTCAAAAAAAATGTGAAAACTTGTGTAATAGGGTTTTTATGAACGCTTAGTTCAATACTCAACTTCACGACATTAGAAGCCTTCTAAACGGTGTAACCGCACTTTTTAGGAACACTGAAAAAATGGCCGTTACCTCTTACCTGGCATAACTCTTCAGTGAAGCATCATAATAAGTTGGGAACTTTACAGTTATAATCAGCAACTCTAATTAGCCTAGTGCAAAAGTTTTGAGGCTGTTTCGTTCCCTTTCTGAGGCAAAACATGACCTTTCATCGCTTAAAACCCTCTTTGAAGTTTCTACCGTATTCTTACAGTAACGAAGAGAGATGAGTGATTCGTTCTATAATGCAAATCTAAGTTGAAGCCAGCTCTACAGATTGGTACCCGAAGCAAGGGAAGCGACTTCTTCAGAAGAGAGATATTAGCGATCAAACGTTCGATACATTTTTTTGGGACACCCTGTATATAGAAAAGCCCATAACTCCATCTAGAAAACGCGTCGCAGATATTAAAGGTATATTTGAGAACAGCGTTTTACGTTCTATCCGTTGGTATACATCATTTTCCGAATCTCACTTTGACCCAACGAACTTCCCTTGTTAGTTGAGTGCGTCTTCTGCGTCTCTACTCGAAATGCACTATCTTCCTTTGTTTGCCCAACATGTGACGAGATTCATGATGTGTTCATCTTACACATACATACGAGCACGTCCTAAGTCGCGACGGTCGTCGAATTCGACTGGCGGTCGTGATATCTGCCAAATACCGCGGCAGAGGCTACTGGATAGATTTTATTTTGAAAATATTCGATATTCGATTAATCGGTCTTCGTGATTTTGGAAAATATTTGATTTTCAATACTCGACATTTTTTGTTTTTGAAAATCTTCGGAATTCGCTTATTCGATATTTTTGTTTTCGAATATATTCGATTACTTGACTTCCAAAAAAATTTCGAATATTTCAAAGTATACTGGATACGTGCTTTGCTTCACGACTATTACTACGGGCCGGGTGTGTAGAGTTGCATTTACCAATCTCGATCATCGACAAAGAATATAAACACAAAATTCTATTACTTTCAAAGAACTTGCGTGACTTTCTTAATTTCCTAATGAAAGCAAATCAAAATAATAGATTATCTTTGGTAAGCGTTAGCCAGTGTCACTGTTATCGAAGCTGGAAACAAGGGCCGATAGTAATCTACCCTACCTGGTGGCATCATAGATGCCGGCAAGTTGGCACACATCGCGGAAAGATGCCAACTCCGCCGGCAGCTCGCGGAGTGATTGTAGGTTTCAATAATCCTATGTAACCTTGGCACGCAATCATTTCGCACATTAAGTTTTGATGACGCAGACAGCCGCAAAATGCTACCTTGCGCGCGGTCGAACCTATGTGCGTTAGCTTGAAGTGCCACCACGTTAACCATTCGACCATTCGGTCAGCCGTTGCCTTTTGCACCAGCAATAGGAGGAACGCACTGGTGAATGGCTACCTATAAAAGGGATCGATACATTGCGTGAGAGACTTTGACCTGAAAGAACAGCTGATTGATATGAGCGAGAGAGGAGCGAAATCGGTGCAAACTGAGATTTATAAGGGATTGCCAAAACAGTTCGTGTTCTATATGATTCTAAGGCATTAGTGGATTTTTTCTCTGTAAGAAAATCGTCATTTTAAAAAAGAAAAACCCATATAATGAGAAAAATGATAGTTTTTTCATGAAAAGTAGAATTTTTGATTTTTTCGCTTGACGTAAATTGTGTGATATCGCCGCAATTCGCAAACTCGCAGACGCCGTCGGCAAAGGTGCCACCACCTCGACGTGGTAGGGGCACGTCGAGATGCCGGCAGCTCGCTCTCTCAAAAGAGCACGCTATTTCCCGTGCTCTCTGACCTGCCGGCAGCTGCCATCTCGCGGATTCCGGCAACCTGCCGGCAGGTTGCCGGCAACTGACATCGCGAAGTTGCCGGCAGCTCCTCCTGGAATTCCAGATATTTTACTAAAGGAGGAGTTCTGGAGCCGCAGATTTTTATGAAGTTTTCTACAGAGTCGAGGCGGCAACTTTATCGAGAAAATTTTTTGAAAAAAGGCCTGGGACGGCCTAAATTTCGGTTCTTAGTTTCTGGCCACCTCGCGGAAAGGTGCCAGCAACCTGCCGACGAGACCTGCCGCCAGGTCGGGGGGATTACTACCGGCCAAGGAGTCAGGCAATAGGTTTGTACATGATACAGGGCGCAGTAGTAGGGTAAGAATGGCGTAGATTCAGGCGTCGCAACGCCAAATAGCTAAATGCTTTGGAATTATTTTTTCTGTTTGACCTGATCGTATCAACAATGAGAAATCGCAAATTCTTACAACATGAACGATCACACGATGACATTCTAAAGAAAATAAAGACGGCAAACTTTTCCATAAGGGCTGTGAGCTATTTTTGTCGTAACATTCAACAAGAAAAACTCAAATTTACTTTAGATGATGCGTATTGTCCCAATGGCAGTGTATCAGAAACATCTGTCTACCAAATGCTCTCACTCATCAACAATAAACGCTTGATATTAGCAAGTGGATTGCAAATAAACGGATACGTGGATCATGATAACGCCAAAAATCTGTTCACGAAACTGCCTCCAGCTAAATTTTTGCCTGAAATGGTTAGTCTCTCTACTTCTCTACAGTAACCAGGTAGTTCTATCGAAGTTTGAATGCATAAGTAGCTATCGTAACAGGTCATATTCTCTAAGGCCTGTATGCACATACAATACCGCTCATAACTCGTCAAAAACTGCGGCGCACTCCGCCGGAGTGCGCTGCAGTGCGGTGGAGTGCGGCGCAGTCCACTAGAGTGCAGCGGAGTCCGCCGCACTGCACTGCAGTCCGCCGGAGTGCGGCAGAGTGCGCCACACTCCACTAGAGTCTGCCGAAGAGCAGCGGAGTGCGCCGCACATCAATAGAGTCCGTCGGAATCGCGTCGCATCGCCATATCTCGCTTCAGAATGGACGAATTCTGAATCCGAGGACACCATTCGATTCAGCTCGGCTAGACGCTTCGATATATATTAGATTGTCCCAAAAGTTTTGTCCGTTTTTTCAACCTATCATAAAAATACGTGGAAGAAAGATAGGGAAACTCTCTAAGCATTACCCGACGCATCTTTTCCTCCTCTTTCTAACTGTCATAATCTTGTGCAGATTACTCTTTTGCTCATTGAGATGAACGCCGAAATTTCGAACCCATGGTTTTCACTATGTCCAAGTTTGACAATTTTACACAATCTTCATTTTCAACTTTTGGAAGACCTTTGATAGCCCTCAGATAAAGTAAGCAAAGGGCAATGTAATGCAATTATTTGGCATATCTAGCTGGCTTTTCAATACTTCTAAAGATAGTTTTTTCAAAAGTCTTCACTTTTGCGAGTTTTAAAATACAGAAACGCCTCGAACACTAATAAATCATCGGATTTTGAAGCTTTCAAAAACCGATTACAATTATGTACTATTTTTACGAAGCAAATGAGCGTTTACCGCTTCGAAATATGAGATTTTTCATTTTATGTGTACAAGCTGGGTGGGGTCAAATTCAAGAATTATGAAAATTTTATAGCCAAAGACCCCGCAAATTGGAGAGAAAATACACTCACTGGAAAGAGTAGGAAAAGTTGCATCGAATAACACCTTAGTTGTGCGCCGTTTCATGATCTCTGGCTTTTGGCATCACCAAAAGTGGAATTTGATAGCATCAGAAAAATAATTCTAAAAAATTTTCAAGGCTGGCTATAGATGCCGCAAAATTGCATTATATTGCCCTTTGTTTGTCTAACTGTTGCCAAAGCTTTTTCGAAAGTCAAAAATAAAGATTGTGAAAAATTGCCAAACTTGTACGTAGTAAAAACCATGGGTTCGAAATTTCGGCGTTTATCTCACTGAACAAAAGATTAATCGGCATGAAAGCATGACAGTCAGAAAGGGAAGGAAAAGATGCGTCGGATAGTGCTTAGAGCGTTTCCCTACCTTTGCTCCACGCGTTTTTGTGATAGGTTAAAAAAACGGACAAAACTTTCGGGACAACCTAATAGAAGTTCAACAATCTAGCAGGCTATGATAGGTATACGCTAGACAGTTAGTTTTCGCTCAATTTTGCAGGTTTTTGTTTGGTTGGATTGTTCAGTTGGCTGATAACAGTATTGCCACTGATTTGTCGCTGATGACACAAAGAAAGTATACTATAGGAGTATGGTAGAGAGCCACTCTGATCGAATTTGTTCTGAAATCTGCTCAAGATCACAATATCGCTACAGAATGTGCAAAATTTCCGTGAACTTCGCGGAATTCCGGGATTTAAGCTAAAGTCCGCGATGTTCCGGAAAGTTTGCGACAATCTAGGATCCGCGGAATCATGGGAATCACGCAGAATACGCAACGTAATAACTTCTTTCGGAATAAATATATATATTCTAAATCCGGAAGCAGCATTGTGTTCAGATCGTCAAGTCAAATCTTTTAATGTTCAGCGTGCCCTCGGTACTTCGTTTCCATATTTCTCGAATTTTCCTGTGGAGGTTTTTTCGCAAGAATGTAACGCAGGGTCTGTGTAACATAAAAGATTTCAGTAAGCACTATTCGATAGTACTGTTTTTTGTAGGTTATCGTTCGTTTAAAAGTAGCTGCAAACTGTCTTCTAAAAGAAATAAAAGGGTTGGTGAATTTTAAAAAAATCACGTGTTTCTAAATCTTACTCGCCGCTACTTTCTTTTCTCTTTTTTGCAATTAGACTGTCTTAATCAGTCACGGTGGAATTTCGACGAAGTATGCGATCTTTACATTTGGACAAAATGCATGAGGACTTGTTTTCATAGGCTCGTAACTCCGCGATTTATGGACTGCAGCTTGAGACATGCACATTCGATGGCACACTTCCTAGTAACTTTAACCTTCATAAGCAGTCAGGCAAGTTTTCTGACAGAGAGATGCAGGCAAATTTACGAGCATTCGTGACTCCATTACACCTCGCCATATCTCTGCAAAAAGACCCTATACTTGAAAGAGAATACGATTTTCGTGTTCAAAAACCTTTATAAGCGAAGTTTGCTTAAAATTCAAATGCATCAACATTTTGAAGAACATCTATCGACGACCTTCCAGAGCGAAAAACGAGAAAAAATAAAATAACCCGAACATCTCGGAAAACTTGCTCATAGAGGCTATCCGACCTGCTGATTTCGAAACTGATATCTGCTTAGCAAGACAACTTCCTTTCTAGGGTTATGGCGAGTAGAATTTGGGACGACAAGATTTTTCCACAAATCACCAGCCCTTCTATTTTTGGAAAAGAAACCTGCGGCTATTATTTAGCGCATCATTATCTACAGAAAAGGTACTATCCAAAAATTCTTGCTATAATTTACTTGAGACAATGCTCGCTACATAACACCTTCGCGAAGAGACGTCCGCAGAAAGATTTGAGAATACTGAAATCGAAATACCAAGGACATGCTGTATATCAAAAAATTTGCCTTGATGAACTAAGCACAAAGGTTTTTTCGGTTTAATATATTCACTCCGAAGAAAGTTGCGGCGAGTAAAAGTTAGAAACGCGTGATTTTTTTTTGAAATTCACCAACGCTTCTCTTTTGAAAGACAGTGTGCAGCTATCTTTGAACGAACGATAACCTACAAAAACAGTACTATTGAAAGTGCTTACTGGAACCTTTTATGTTACACAGACCTTGCGTTATATTCTTGCGAAAGGACCTCCACAGAAAAATTCGAGAAAAGTGGAACGGAGTATCGAGGGCACACTGAACATTAAAAGATTTGAATTGACGGTCTGAACACAATGTTGCTTCCGGATTTAGAATTTATTCCGAAGGAACTTATTGCGTTGCGTAATCTGCGTGATTTCCATGATTCCGCGGATCCTAGATTGTCGCAAACTTTCCGGAATATCGCGGACTTTAGCTTAAATTCCGGAATTCCGCGAAGTTTACGGAAATTTTGCACATTCTGTAAGCGGTATTGTAATCTTGAGCAGATTTCAGAACAAATTCGATCAGAGTGGCTCTCTACCATACTCCTACAGCATACTTTCTATGTGTCATCAGCGACAAATCAATGGCAATACTGTTATCAGCCAACTGAACAATCCAACCAAACAAAAACCTGCAAAATTGAGCGAAAACTTACTGTCTAGCGTATACCTAACATATCCTGCTAGATTGTGAGACTCTCATATACAAGATGATGCGTCTCGCCGTGCTGAATCGAATGGTGTCCTCGGACTCAGAATTTGTCCATTCTGAAGCGTTATATGGAATGCGACGCGGCGGCGCAGTCCGGCGACTTTTTTGACGAATTATGAGCGGTATTGTACATCCCCGCTGGGAAGGGGAAGGGATCTGTGAAGGGATGCGCAATATCTCGCTATTCTACATATCATTCTTCTCTCTCTATCGTGCTTATGAAGATTCTCATACCCTAATAACTGCGCATGATCGATGCGAGGTCACTGGTATAATTAGTTAGATTTTCACTAATCTCTGCTCCCCTTGGGATCCCCAGGTGATCCCCAGTAGATCACCTTTCAATTCCAATGCCATTTATCTTTCTGGAAACTCAATGAAAACGCTGTAAAATTGTATTGTGGATATACTACGGTACTGCCGAAGACGTTATAGTAGAAATAAGTAAAATTCCGAAACATCGAAATCTTCGGTAATCCTTAGCTCGCAAGCTAGTGATCATCGAAAATTTCACAATTTTTACTTTTTATTTCTCCTGTCGAAAGCATGCTTATCAGTGCCGTAGTACACCCATAGTACAATTTCACGCGTTTTCTTTGAGTCTTCAAAAAGATAAATGACTTTGAAATTGAGAGGTGATCCCCGGGGATTACACAACATGGCAAAAACCAATCTTGTATAGAAGTAACCTGGCATCCATTATGTGTCTCATCATTTTGAGCGGTTGGTCTACGGGAAAATACTCATACCAGTTGAAGAATTATTAGCTCTTTGAGATCGAATTTGAATTTTCATTCAATCATTCATGGAATTGAATTTTTCCTTCATTTCCATGAATGACTGTCGTTTGAATTCTACACCGCCTGATTTTTCGAGCCTGCATTTTCGTTTTTGTACGGATTCATAATTTTTGCGAACATATGTGATTGCTTACAAAAAGCTAAGCCGACATGATGACAAGTAAGCACCATGCTAATTTGTCGAAAGAGTCTTGTAACGACGCGAATGATGTGTTTTTCACCTGAAAACGTAATTCGTAAGTTCAACATGCAAAAGCATGAGCAGATTCATTGAGTGGATCCCTCAGAAACTGCGCGTCAAGCGGATTCACTGAGCTTCTGGCCCGCAAATTAGGCCCATATTTCCACTTTTTGCAGAGTCGTGGATGTTTTTGGCAAGTAAGTGTGCAAGTCATTGACCTAGACCAAGAAAGTGATCAAAAGTCTTCTACTTTACAAAAAGGGCGCCAAAAAGAATGGGTTGCGTAAACGGTCAGTTTGTCAAGTTTTATCTGAGCATTTGACAAGTTTTTTGCACAAAGATATAGCTCATGGTGATTATTGTTCCTATGGAGACTACCAAAACAATGGAATTTTCAAGAACCAATCCAAATTTGCGTCTGTTCTTCTGCAAAA